CAGCTAGCCCCAGGCCTGTTGGACCATCTAGTCACTTTCATCGAGTCACTGTGGCATCCAAGCTGCCCTGATTATGGGCCCTTGTCGTGTAAACACAACGATGGCTGGCTGAAACTCAAGCAATAGTAAACAGTTGTTAATGCTAACGCTGGCTATGTAGCAATAGCTAAATTTACAAATAGCTCCTTTAAACTGTCAGATTTGAATTCTTAGCTACTTTTGTTTGAAGGAGATGAATAAGTTGGCACTACATCTGTCTCAAAGTTTCAGCACCTCCTTTAACTTTCATTCTGACTTGACAAATACCAGCATATAAACAGGATACACAACAAAGACAAGTCTATTTTAACTTCATTCAGGTGAGCTCAAAATCAAGGATGAGATCAAAAGGTTTGGTCATTTGATGAAAAACTTCAATAGTAAATTATCTCACATAAAAACCTATTAGGAATAGTTGGAAGTTTGAGTTTGGAGTTTTCTTTTCTGTTCTCTCACCATATCACACACCTTTTAGCTACACACTGGTATACAATCACCCCATTCTCCCACTGAAAAGCACATTATTTGGAAAAGTCTCAGTTCCTCGAGATATTGAAATCAGCTGGCATTCTGTGCCTGGAGGATTGCCTCTGAGGATCACTCAACAAGAGCTCTGGCTGTATAATGAAGCTATTTGGCACAGACTTAATTGTGGTGCCACTCAAATTCTGTCCTTCAAAACTTCAGAAGTGTAACACATATACCTGTATCGTATGATGAAACACTAATAATCCAAAATGTGCTTTTAAACAGCAGAGACAGACACTATCAAGCATTTAAAAAAAAAACAAAAAAAAAAACTATTTAATATTTACTTGGCCAAGCACAGTGACTTCTTGTGGAGACTCCTTTCTGTCAGTGGCCTGCCAAAAAAAAGAGTCCCTCTAACTGCCATGTTTACATTTCAATTATTGTACAGATTGATGAATGATACATGACGTCTTACTTTGTGATGGATTTTGTTACCTTTGGGCAGAGCCAAGAGCTGTTTCTGTCTTTATGCTAAGCTAAGCTAATCAGCTTCTTGCTGTAGCCCTCATATTTAATGGGCAGACATGAGAGAAGTGTGGATCTTTTCATCGAGCATTTGGCAAGAAAGCAAACAAACGTGTATGTTTAATTATTCCTTCCTATAAGATCTTCAAATCTGCACTCTGATTAATGGCAGAAGCTAATAGTCTAATTAACATTAGCGTGCCCTAAATGGCTGTTATTTCTAATTTAATTTGGGTAATTGGCTTATTTTTTATTTGACCTTACATGCAAACTAATAAATCACTTGCTGTAGCGCAGCATGGTAAAGCTCAGGAGTAAATGAGAGGAAGTTGAACTGCAGGTCTCCTGTGAATGTATCGTCCTCCTGGAAGGAATAAGTCTTGTGTCTCTAATGTCCTGCAACTCTCCCTCCTCATTTCACTATGAGTCACTTGAGTCACTTCATTATGTATTCAGCCAAGCCTATGGAAATCTATAGCACGGGAATTAGATGATATTGATTCCCATCCCCTTCCTTCTTTTTGTAAACAAAGAAATGACCGCAGCGCTCCGAAACGTTCAAGGCATTCCCTTATCATTTTTGGGAGACTTGCCTCTTTTTGTTTGACTGGGTATAGGCGTGTTATCTGTGGCAGCAGTCTGATGCATGAAGAGCACAGCAGCCCTTTCTGTCATCATTCCCTCTCTCTCTCGTTCTTTACTGTGTGCCCGACTGCCTCGCTGCCGTCCTCACGTACAACCATAAATCAGCCAACTAAGAGCTGGGCCCCTCTCTGCCAGGCCCCTCTCATTGATTGCACTGCACTGGGTAAGTGTAGCATGATGAAGAGAGAGCTCAATTCAATTAGGCTGCCTTGCTAGACAGAAATATGTAGCATACGCTGGATAAAGGGCTGTCTTCGAGAGCAATGAAAAGAAAATAAGGATAAGGAAGAAGAATTTGGGAGGTGAGAGAGGGGGGTGTCACTTAGATAAAAGTAATTGGATTGCTGTTCTACTGTTCGGCGCCTTGGGTCGCTTGTGCAAGTCGATAACAGATCTGTATGTTCAAGGAAGAGAGAGGAGGAGATGAAGTTAGAGTTATGGGAAATGAAGATGAATCTTAACTCAGAGCTGAGTTGGCGATGGATTTGTAACCATTTCCAAGAAACAGTGAACAAACAGTGTACAGACGTTTGTGGCCCCCAGAGAATAAATCCTACTGACTTTGGTGATCCTGACTTTTTCTTTAGTGTCTATGACAGTTTCACTTTTCAATCAATCAATCATGCGATCATGGTTTCTAGACAATATATCTGTATCCAAATCCAAGTCTCCAGGTCCTGACATTCATGGCACCTGAAGGATGAATCTTAATGACTTTGGTGATACCCTCACTTTCCATCTAATGCCACCAGCGGGTAAAATTTTTCACGTATCTACCCGATGGACTGGTGCCCAATTTTGTTCATTCATGGTTTGCGGAGGATGAATCCTACTGACGCTGGTGATCCTCTTGACTTTTCCTTTGACACCACATGAGACTATCATGTATGGTTAAGAATGAAACTACAGCTAAAGGATGGATCACCATGAAATTTTGGTTCATTCATTTTCCCCACAGGATGAATTAACTTAATATTGTGATCTATTCACTTTTGATCTCAAATCAAGTCAAAATGTTTATTTATCCAATATTTTGGTTTTCAAAATTAATGACTTTTCTCATAAGTCTCAGTTGTGTTCACTGCTAATTATAACACGTTAGCATGCTAACATGCTAAACTAAGGTGGTGAACATGGCAAACAAAATACCTTCTAAACGTTCCTGCTAGCAAGTCAGTATCATCATTATGAGCATGTTAGCATAATGACATTAGCATTCAGTCCAACACATTGTTGTGCTTAAGCACAGCCTCACATATGGCTGTAGACTAGTCTTGTTTCATACTTTCCCCCTTTCACAGATGACTTAATGGTGAAGCACCGATGATTTGCTGAGTAATTTAAATTGACATTAGTTCCAGGGCAAAAGGCTAATGAACACAAGCCAGAAATATTTCACAACACTGGACAGTATAATGTTTTTTTTTTTCATACCAGAGGAACTGCTAATTCTCCAACAAGATTAAGACACTTTATATGTTTATGATATAAAGTGCAGATTTTTTTTTTAACTCTCTAACATTCACCTTGAACACAGACAGCTTTATTATAATGCACCACACTTTGTCTGTGAGAGCAAATTCACACTAAACCATTTTTTTCCCAACAGTATACACTTAAATTCAATGCATGCACAGATAATTATATTATATTGCTTTTAACCTCAGTTACAGCGCCCCTTACACAGTAATTGTTGCACAAATTCACACCACTCTAGAGCTAAAACAGGCAGAGAGTAAAAACTGCCAGGCTGGAGATAACGAGACTGGACACATAACACATGAGAGTGGAGACATTTACCAATTTCATCAAACAACCCTTTTACAGGGTGGTATCTGAGATGGCAGATAAGTCAATACTGAATACACACACCCATTTCTGTAAAGGCCAAACCATGATGGATTTTTTTCAATTCAGCATATCAGGGTCTGCGTTAATCTCCCGTGGTAAGTCGTGAGTTATTTCACATCAGAGGTGATTTATGGCACCACAGCTGTTTGTATAAGGCCTCTCAGTCAATCTTTGGTTACTTAAGAAGATCCTGGATCAGATCGTGGTTCCACTATTTATTCACTAAACATCTAACTAGACTGAGAGCAAAAGTCTCTTTACCATTTCTCCAGGGTACTGTCTCCTTTATGGCGACTGCCCAACCTATTCCCAACCCTACTTTAATCCACATACTCTCTGGCTATGTGTGTGGTTTACAAAGAACCTCCTTTCAGTGTGCATCCAGAGCCACTGAGAACTGTGATTTTTAAACAGCAGTTGTTAGATAATAGATAAGAATAATAGATAAGAGTAGTCCTACAGTCAAATTTGCTCTCCCCATTATGTAATCTGAATAATTCTACATATGAGATATTTTCATCCAAAGTAATTCAGTTTCTTTTTCTAGTCAGGCTTCTTTTTGATTCACAGCACACACTGGGAGTAGAAAAGAGACATTTATTTTCCAGTGTTGCCACAGTAACCTCAGCACAGAACTTCCTCCACCATCTCCACACGGCAGTTCAGTCCATGCTGCCCGCCACAGCTCAGCGGCAGACAAAGATGATACTTATTTTTGATTCATTTCAGCCCAGAGTCCTTGCCCTGAAAAAAGAGCTACCTTTTATCTGCCAACGTTATTATGTGTCGGGCCAGACACACAGGAGTAATATAAGACAGATGTTCACACATGTTCTTTTATTCATGTCCCAAAGCACTTTGCACCTGTTTCTCAAGTAATTATTCTTCTGAATTTCTGATGTAAACAAACCTTTCATAGCATTCAAATATACAGATAGATAGATACAGTGTTAGTCCATGTGTTAAACAACCTCTCAAACAATTTGAGAGTTGTAGTACAAGTACAAGGTCCTAATCATGCTACAAGACCCGTCTACTGACATACTTAATTAAACATCACTCTAAACAAGAGGAATTAATTACACTGTTTGGACTCGACTGACTTTTATACCAAAATTAACAAGTAGTCTCATATGTCTCCTGATGGAGAATGACTAGGCGATGTATCCTCTACCTCAGCTTTACAAGAAGCATAAATACAGTGATACCTCAGTGCAACGCTGGACGGATAAATAATGCTTTGGTACGGAGCCATTTGGAAGCAAAACAACGAAGCAGGGAGGGGGTTGAGGGTGCCTGAGCGCCGGGCTAAGTCTCCTGCACTGATCAGCGCTGCATGATGCAGACAACAGAGGAGAAAGAGGAGGAGGAGGAGGAGGAGGAGAGGAAGGAGGAGCGAGCGAGGGGAACAGACTGGCTGAGGCTCACAGCTCTCAGTCTCTCCTCAGTGCTTCGCAAAGCAGCTTCTCTCTGCTTTTCCTCTCTCCCTCACACACACACACACACACACACACACACACACACACACGTACACACAGGCTTTCCTACTCTTTTTGCCTGAGCTGACAAGAGCAAACGCAGCGGCAGAGGGGCTCACTCGCTCCAACTCCTCCCGCACCATGCTGCCCTGGAGAAGGAATAAGTTTGTTCTGGTGGAGGATGAAGCCAAGAGTAAACCCAAGAGCCTGGGGACCGGGCTGACCTACCACTCCATCCTCTCCTCGCTGCTGCGCTCCTGTCCTGACTTGCTGCCTGACTGTCCCTTCGACTGGGTGGGCAGCATCTTCCACACCAAACGGCAAAAGGTGGAACTGAACAAAGAAGAGCCTGTGTATAATGTGCGCTACCTGGGGAGTGTAGTCACCATCACGGCTAAGGGAGACGGCTGCACCCAGGAGGCGGTTGCCAAGATCTGGGCGAGGAGCAACTACGGGGAGCAGAGTGTCAAGATGAGGTTAACAGTGGGGCCGCAAGGCATCCGGATGAGCGCAGACAAATCTGGGAAAAAGAAACCCATTCATCTTTACTCTCTGAACAGAATCACCTACTGCACCGCTGACCCGTGCCGGCCCAAGATCCTGGCCTGGATCTACAGGCACCAAGTCAAGAACATGGCAGTGGTGCTTCGGTGTCACGCTGTTCTGGTAAACAAGTCGGAGAAGGCTCAGGCCATCGCCCACAGCCTCTACCAGAACGCCACCTCCGCCTTCAGCGAGTTCAAACGGCTCAAGCGTCAGAGTGATTTCCGACACTGCCAGCAGCAGCTGCTGGGAGAGGAAGCGGTGCCCCTGATGCCACTGAGGAGGCTGCTGAACGGGCAGTGCCATTACAGACCGCCTGCCGACAACCCCGGGAGTGCTACCCGCCTCTGCTCCATCACAGAGGAAGAAGAGGAGGAGGAGGAGGAGGAGGAGGAGGAAGACAAAGACGAGAAGCAGGAGGTAGAGGAATCAGAGGAGGATGTAGGGGAGCAGCAGGAGAAACAGAAGGTTTTAACAACAAACACAGACCCAACTCAGTTATTATCAGAGTTGGACATTGGGGATATTGCCAGATTGGAGCAGTGCCAAATCAACTTTGTCAGTGACAGCAACAACAACACGTTTACGTTTATAACCTCTCTGGTGTGACTATAATGTAGTTTGAAAGAACGCGATTCTGCAACACTACAGTAACACATTCCTCTCTCTTTACCCTTCACCGGTACCCCACTCAGGCTCCCTACCTGCCCCTTCCATGTAATGTGAAGTGTTACCCAGAAAACTTGTCCTCCTGCCAGGCGGTAGATAAAAAGGCAGACGATTGATCTGTGGGAGTAAATTTCTATTCTGGCCAGATGGCTCAGACGTTGGTTTGACTGTAGCTGTTTGGGGAAACTGTTTACAAAGAGGGCTGGTGATGCACAGACTAACGATAGCACAATGACGAACGAGGACAGTGGTTTTCAGAAAACACGAGCGCGCCGACACTGAGATCACTGACACAAAGGTCACATATTGATCACAGCACCAAGCAGGATGTGTTTGTTAGTCCTCTTATCTCTTATTTTTGTGAATATAATTGACGCCGTGTTTGCCAGCAGGGACATTTTTCGGATTGACTTGTAATATTTTTTCAGGGAGGCTCTTTGTATATTTGTGTAATTTTTCTAATATGACAATCCTCACTGATGTTGTTCACAGACTGACCTTTCTGAGCGCTCACAATCTCAAGATGAAGTTTATTACGGTTTCACTAATGATCACAGCCGACTAATGAATAAGGCGATAATTTAGGAAGCAAGCCATTGAGTCGACATGTTTATTGCTGCCATTTGTCACAGTCCCTATCATTTATGCATGACATGTCAGCAGTAACCTTTCCGTGCAGAGCTTTTGTCTTCTTTTTCATGTGACATCTTTGATCCTTCGGCTTTTAAAAATGAACACTGTGATAAATGTGCGACCAGGGACAAAACACACAACTGTTCATGCAGTGATGTCTTGCTTGTGTAATGCATTTCTTCTGATTTATATCTATTGCAGTGTCACCTGGTTTGCCAAAACAACAACAACAAAAAAAGAAACAAACAAACAAACACAGATCTCAATTTGCCACCATTTTTAGCCAAGTTTTGCTAGTGCAGTTTTTCCAACTGAGCCCTTGCAAAAATACAGATGGACCCGTACGATTTAACACAAACTGTTTTGAATATGACTTTATCTAATTTCCTGTTGATAATATCTGTGCTACCGTCTAAAGATGCATTGTGATCATTATTATTATTATTATTATTATTATTATTATGAGATGAAGCTATTTATTTTCCAAACACGATGAATAAAACTTACCCTCACTTGGGTTTCCTTCTTGAATCTCGGCGGGAGGGTTTTTCCTAGACATCATCAAAGACGTTATTCAAATGAATCCAACAATTCTGCATTCCCCCAGTGTGCATTTGCATGTTTGTGATGTGAAAATATGTCTAACCTACACTTCAAAAGACAAAAAACAACATATTTACACCAGCGTCATCTGCTTCCTGAGATATAAAACTGCGTTAAAAAAAAGAAGAAAAAAAGGTCTTTGCCACAAAAAAAGACACAATATCAATTTTAAACTGTGAGTCAGTGCCATTAGATGTTAATGTGGTTTGATACATTTCTGCAGGCCTTGTATGGGCTTCCCAGGCCTTTACTCTGAGGAGAGGTGGGGGTTGAGGGGGGGGGGGGTGGGGGCGGCGGGCAATTAATCAGCGCGAACTTGAATTGTTCAGGGAACATAAAGCACCTGCCTCTGCAGGACGGCTGTCAGGCCCTGACAGAACCGAGTGATCCAAAACGGGGACTGGGAAGTTGACTCACTCATCAACCATTTTACTGCCAACATCAGCCATTTCAGTGACGACACTGAGACTTTACACTGTTTTACTGGAATAACACAAAATCAGCAAGTGAAAACAACATTTAAAGCTACGGCGCGTTTGAGTTGTAGTGTTTTTGCAGTCGGGCAGTTTAAAAACATCAGCGTCTCTTTCTGTGAGCAACAATGAATTAATTTTTATATCCCACATTATATAATCACAATATAGTATTATATTGTAGCGCAATAAATAATTCCCTGTGAAATTATTGATGTCAAACTATTCATAATTTTGCATACATAATGGCATCAAAAGCTGTTTGATTTGTCATTCCTCATCAAGAACTGTGCTTTTGAGTGTAAAATAGGTGCTGCTCTGTTGACGTATCAGAAAATCATTTTGAGTTGGTCTGAATTACTGAGATGGATTGTTCTGAAGGGATACTTTCGGCTGGAGCCTTCGAGATCAATATTTTTTCTTTTCCTGGAATAAACTTCCTCTGAAAAAGAACAGGACCTAATGTCAGCGGATAGATAATAAAGGATTCCTGTGTCCTTGCCACAGATCCACTCACAGCAAGGATAACTGCAGAGTCTGAATACTAATACAAACCATTTTTATTGCTTCATTATATTTTCCCTGCATTTTAATATTTGTCGGGCTGTTCTGCATAGATGAGTAATCATATACACACACAGTACACAATGTGATAAAGTCACATTGTTTGCTCACTGACATTCATGCAGAGATGCATTGTGTGTGACACTCTGCCAATGTTGTGTTAACATGGAGTGGTTAGCAGAGGAGCCACAGTGCTTTTATGTAAACATAACTCTTGTCAGGCCAGCAGAAGAGAGAGGGAGCAGATGGCAGCAGCAAGGTGCATGCTGGGCTTCATCACACTCATCCTCCAGAATAACAAGGGCTCAAGCCCAGAACCAAAGCTCGTTGTGCTTTGTCACATCATCAGCCGCAGGAGATGCTCTTAAAGAGCACAAAATCTGATCAAACATTACAGACACACTGGCCTGTCAAGTATCACATATAACTGTGCTGTGCCATTTCACAGTGGGGCTTCTTTGGAGACCCAAAAAGATGCTTCTGGCTGCACACAGCTGTTCAGTGGCTCTCTCATCCTCATGCAGCGTCTGTGAAGCAAACACGGGAACATGAGTGACAGCACCACAGGCCTGCTTGTCTCCATCGAGACGAGGAAGAGGAACAAAATGTTGTGTCCCAGAGCAGCTGGCAGCAGGTGGCAGTCCATTTTGTTCCAGTGAGAACTGTACAAAAAAAATGTGTTGAGCAGCTTCTCTGTGAGGATGGCAGAGCTAAAGAACAGACCATGCAGAGGAAGGAAGGACACCGTGGATCAATGAGACTCTGCTCTATACAGAAAGAGATGAATGGTGATGAGACCTTGTAAAAAAATAGTTGTGTGCTTTAGAGTTTAATGCTGCTGACTGCAAAGAAAAAAACAGCAACAAAATGCGTTGTTTGTTTGTGCCCTGTAGAATGACACAGAAATGTTCTCTAATCATGATGCTCAGCAGGACAGCACCTGTGCCTTCTATAACCAATATGAATCACAAATAAATCTGTTTTATTATCTGACAATGCTATGGTTAAAGGAGCAATTTGTAAGTTTTGCTATCGCTTCATAGCCAACGTTAGCATTAGCAGCTGTTTGCTTACCAGTGTAGAAGAAATGTTGCGAGTTCAGCATCAAACTTTCCTCTCCAAGAGCTGTGACCAAAGCACCCTTCCTTACTTTGCTTCTAATTCTGTCACGTCTTTCCTTCTACTGAACTTAGCATGCTAACAAACTAGCCCTGGCCTGGTCACTTTCCAATACCGAGTCACTGTAGTGTCCAATCTGCCCTGAAGAAGTAGTGCTGCTCAGAGGTTGTATTATCACCTACTGTCGTGTAAAAGTAGCAATGGCTGAAGCTCTTGCCAAGATTTATGTAAGCAGCTGTTAATGCTAACATTGGCTATGTAGCAAAAGCAAAACTTACAAATAGCTCCTTTTAGGTTTTGTTAGGTTTAGGCACCAAAGGAAAGATCATAGTTTGAGTTAAAATATGTACTTAGCGTTTTGGGTTAAAATGACTTTAATGAATGACTTTAAAGTTAAGGGACCTCCGCCATCATGGTTACAATAATAAACGAGTGGTTAAGGTTAAGAAATGATCAATTGGAAAAGTGAAATGTATGTCACTGTTAAAGTCTGATGTCTGACCAGGGACAAAACACACAACTGTTCATGCAGTGATGTCTTGCTTGTGTAATGCATTTCTTCTGATTTATATCTATTGCAGTGTCACCTGGTTTGCCAAAACAACAACAACAAAAAAAGAAACAAACAAACAAACACAGATCTCAATTTGCCACCATTTTTAGCCAAGTTTTGCTAGTGCAGTTTTTCCAACTGAGCCCTTGCAAAAATACAGATGGACCCGTACGATTTAACACAAACTGTTTTGAATATGACTTTATCTAATTTCCTGTTGATAATATCTGTGCTACCGTCTAAAGATGCATTGTGATTATTATTATTATTATTATTATTATGAGATGAAGCTATTTATTTTCCAAACACGATGAATAAAACTTACCCTCACTTGGGTTTCCTTCTTGAATCTCGGCGGGAGGGTTTTTCCTAGACATCATCAAAGACGTTATTCAAATGAATCCAACAATTCTGCATTCCCCCAGTGTGCATTTGCATGTTTGTGATGTGAAAATATGTCTAACCTACACTTCAAAAGACAAAAAACAACATATTTACACCAGCGTCATCTGCTTCCTGAGATATAAAACTGCGTTAAAAAAAAGAAGAAAAAAAGGTCTTTGCCACAAAAAAAGACACAATATCAATTTTAAACTGTGAGTCAGTGCCATTAGATGTTAATGTGGTTTGATACATTTCTGCAGGCCTTGTATGGGCTTCCCAGGCCTTTACTCTGAGGAGAGGTGGGGGTTGGGGGGGGGGGGGGGGGGGGGGAGGGCAATTAATCAGCGAATTGAAATTGTTTCGGTGAAACATAAAGCACCTGCCTCTGGCAGGACGGCTGTCAGCCTGACAGAACCAGAAAGTGATCCAAAACGGGAACTGGGAGTTGCTCACTCATTCAACCATTTTACGTGGCCAACATCAGCCAATTCAGTGACGACACTGAGACTTTACACTGTTTTAACTGGAATAACACAAATCAGCAAGTGAAAACAAACATTTAAAGCTACGGCGCGTTTGAGTTGTAGTGTTTTTGCAGTCGGGCAGTTTAAAAACATCAGCGTCTCTTTCTGTGAGCAACAATGAATTAATTTTTATATCCCACATTATATAATCACAATATAGTATTATATTGTAGCGCAATAAATAATTCCCTGTGAAATTATTGATGTCAAACTATTCATAATTTTGCATACATAATGGCATCAAAAGCTGTTTGATTTGTCATTCCTCATCAAGAACTGTGCTTTTGAGTGTAAAATAGGTGCTGCTCTGTTGACGTATCAGAAAATCATTTTGAGTTGGTCTGAATTACTGAGATGGATTGTTCTGAAGGGATACTTTCGGCTGGAGCCTTCGAGATCAATATTTTTTCTTTTCCTGGAATAAACTTCCTCTGAAAAAGAACAGGACCTAATGTCAGCGGATAGATAATAAAGGATTCCTGTGTCCTTGCCACAGATCCACTCACAGCAAGGATAACTGCAGAGTCTGAATACTAATACAAACCATTTTTATTGCTTCATTATATTTTCCCTGCATTTTAATATTTGTCGGGCTGTTCTGCATAGATGAGTAATCATATACACACACAGTACACAATGTGATAAAGTCACATTGTTTGCTCACTGACATTCATGCAGAGATGCATTGTGTGTGACACTCTGCCAATGTTGTGTTAACATGGAGTGGTTAGCAGAGGAGCCACAGTGCTTTTATGTAAACATAACTCTTGTCAGGCCAGCAGAAGAGAGAGGGAGCAGATGGCAGCAGCAAGGTGCATGCTGGGCTTCATCACACTCATCCTCCAGAATAACAAGGGCTCAAGCCCAGAACCAAAGCTCGTTGTGCTTTGTCACATCATCAGCCGCAGGAGATGCTCTTAAAGAGCACAAAATCTGATCAAACATTACAGACACACTGGCCTGTCAAGTATCACATATAACTGTGCTGTGCCATTTCACAGTGGGGCTTCTTTGGAGACCCAAAAAGATGCTTCTGGCTGCACACAGCTGTTCAGTGGCTCTCTCATCCTCATGCAGCGTCTGTGAAGCAAACACGGGAACATGAGTGACAGCACCACAGGCCTGCTTGTCTCCATCGAGACGAGGAAGAGGAACAAAATGTTGTGTCCCAGAGCAGCTGGCAGCAGGTGGCAGTCCATTTTGTTCCAGTGAGAACTGTACAAAAAAAATGTGTTGAGCAGCTTCTCTGTGAGGATGGCAGAGCTAAAGAACAGACCATGCAGAG